GCACGATCACGCCCACTTTGGTTTCGTCGGGGAAATCTGAGCCCTCGTCGGGGCATCGTCCCCCCATCGGGGCCGCGCTCCCCCTGTCGGGAAAATCCTGGCGCCACCCCTGGGTATAGGCCTACCGCCCTGTATTACAGTATTAAATACTTGTAGTAGTCTTGAATCGCTCTTGACAATTTGCTCGATCGACCTGTAAATTTGTCATGTCAAAGGCCATTAGACTGGGAAAAAAGTCTTCTTCCGGTTTGTTTTGTACTGTGACCGCGGTGCGGCGCTATACGATCTTTGCTGTGACTGTGTAGTGTAGGTTTAGCCTATGTTGGCCTAGGCCTAGTTAGAAAGTGTTAACATACACGTAGTTATTATGAGTGGTTACAATTCAGTATGAAGGAAGATGCAAAAATATCATCTGGCAACTCTGGCGCTAATCAAGTAAATGACCATTTTCCTCAAACGATTGGAAATGGATTTGCAAATCTTGCTCTGGGGCCCAGTTCAAGAGAGTTTAGTCGAGCCGTTTCGGAGTGGGTTTGGCAATACCAAATGCATTATTTTTCACACACAAATGTTCTTGGTTACAATGACTTTTCCACTTCAGGTGTTCATTTGAGGACAAATGTGTCTACCACTGGCAATAATACTCAGAATGCTAATATAACTTCACCGAATTCTTCCGTAAATGGAAACCCTATTTTGGCCAACAACCCACCTTTCCTAGCCCCACAACAACATCCATTCCAACAACCACAGATTCCCCCTACTACTACAGGTCATCATGGTCGAACCGATAGCAGCCAACAAAATGCCGAACAGTCTGCTGGTAAGTTCTTTAATAATTAAATTTAACAAGCTGTGTAGCATGTTTACCAGCAGCAGAGACTATGATTAATAAATAATTTATTCATTTATTCTTTATTTAGCCTTAAAAATCACAATTATGATTTTCCATAGGCCTACACAATAAAATAGAACTAAAAATCCAAAACACACAATACAGAAAAAAAAAAACCCAACCCTGTGTAAATCTATTGTTAATCCATCCCTAGAGAAACAGCAATATCAAATTTATGATAGAAAATATAGTAATAATTTATATTTATATTTATATTTAGAAAAACAATTGAAATTATAAATGAGACTTCTTAAAATTTAGGTTAATTGCAAAACGAATAAATTTTAATTAGATTATAAGATTGTAAAAGGGACAAAAATAAAAATAATGAAAGTACCCAAGCACAAAACCCAATATACATAGGCCTACACCATGTACTGTATAAACATATATATAGAGACCCTTATATATATACGTGTAACAAATAATATTCAAATCATATATATATATATATATATATAAGCTCTATAATATATATATATAGTACAATACACACATATAATATACACACATACATACAGTATATGTACACATTTCTTATATACATGTACACACATTCATATACCTGATAATAAAACGTAACAAAGGCAACAAAAAGCTAGAAATTTGCCATTAATAATAATAATAATAAGATTTATTAAGCGCATTTATATATATATACATGTATATATATATATGTATGTATTATATATATGATATATATATGTATATATATATGATGTATATATGATGATATATATGTGATGTATATATATAATGTTATTAAAAATTATGAACTATGCCTACTACTATCAAGCAGGGGTAGCTCCAGAAATTTGCCTACATAGGCTGTACATATCCAACAAGGTTTCGAACCAAGGCGCCAACTAGAGCCTTGATCATGGTCCCGGAATAAAAGTCCCTGGTACTAAGCCTAAGCAGGGTTCACTGGCACAGTTTTTATGGCTTAGTATGGCCCATATTGTGCTTTTTAGACCACAATATTAGGGATTTGTAGACCACAATCAAAATAACGTTGATTTAGATAGGCAATTTCTTATATATATTTTTGATCACACGACTTTGTCCTGTTGTCGGAGGATGGGTTAAGGCCTGCTCGATTGGGGAGGGTTAAATTCTGCTGGCACAACACCACTGCTAAATATCAACCAGAAGGAGCCCTATCCAGTACGAGTGAAAATTGATAAAACGCTTGTTGTATGATGTAGAAGTTAAGCTGACATTATTATGCATTATAATGTTTCAACATAAGTAGTGTAGGCTAATGTTACTTAAATCGAAAATTAATGGTACACAATATTATAATAACATACTCAATCAACGTTTTCATTGAAGACAGGACAGGAGTAGGCCTAGACTTCAGCATAATCTCAATTTTTTATTTTATTTCAACACAGGTCAAGAGTATACTGTTCCTTCTTTGCACCGAAGACTGTTGGCAGAATTCATAGACTTTTTATTCTTATTTACTATGAAGCTTGTTGTATCTGTGTTCATCATTGAATATGTTGGTGTTTCGTAAGTCTATGAACTGGTTCAACATTTCTGTGATTAATTTTTGTATACAGTACTTATTGATAAATTTCTCAACTATATATATATATCTTGCTAATCACTTGATGTTTTCTGATTTCATAATTTTTTTTACATGAGAGTGAGCATAATATATTTTAATTGTTATTTTAATTACTATCTTTTCAGATTTTATAATTAAGATCTACTTATTTTATGATTAAGTATAACTACAATATTTTGATGGTGTTTGTGTCAGGAGATGTAAGTGAATGATGTTTTGCCTGACGCATTATCATACTGAATGCTCAGTAAGCTCCCAAATACTTGCAATAAAATTCCCGCAAGAGATTCCGATAGGAATCAAAACTATGACCTCCAGATAACCAGCTTGGTGTCTTTAAAACCACTTGTAGAACTACTTTCTCATCCTGACAATTTTTTTTGCCTTTAACTTGTCCTAGATTTTTACCTTTCCTTGGCATACTGTAATTTACCCAGTCCAAGAATTTTGAGTTTGATTATTTTGTGTATTGCTATCTTAATTACTAAGCAGGTTCACTGTCTCATTGTAGTTGTCATACAAACTGTTGAAACAGCATTTTATTGTTAAATACTTTTGAAGAAAACTAAAAGATTTACTGGGTATATTTTTTAATACATCTAGAGACACAGCAAGTTTCATGATGAAGTTTCTTGTAGAGGAGCTAGATGAACAGGCTACAATGGAAGATCTCCAGCAGATGTTGTTCATGGCCCTACTGTATCGATTTTTTGTATGCATGTATGAGGTAAGGCTAATGTTATGCCTAGTATGATTATAGCAATGGTCCGTCTTACCTCCCTTCACTCTCCAGTAAGTCTTAACAAACACCCCATCAGAGCCACATGGCGAGTTGCATTGCTGAGCGGTTAAGGCAGGGGAACTGCAATCTGCAGCGATAATATTGGCGCTGGTTCGAACAGCACACTCGCCTATGTTTCTGGTGGTGGAACAAGTCTTTTCGAATAAGGACTCTAAACTGTAGGCCCAGTATACACAGTTGGCTCGTGTGCACTTTAAAGAACCTAGTACATCCTTCGAGGGAGAAGAAAGTTGTTGAATTGAATTGTTCCAAGCATGTACGCAATAGATTCTATATTTTCTGCCCCTGTTGGATGCTGCTTTTGCTCATACTGTATGCCTTCGGGTGTTTTATTGAGCTACAGATAAAGTTTTAATAGCTCCATAATATTGGTAACACTGAAGAAAATTGGTAATCAAGCAGCTACAGTGAGAGCCTACATATTAGGTTTAGAGCTTCTTACTATTACACTATACCTTTCAGAGTTTTTTTGTCACCTCAACCCATGCATTGTTTTCAATGATGCATCACTTTTTTTTCCTCAAACATAGCATTCTGATTGATGTTCAGATTGTTAGTTATATATATCAAATTTAAATATGATCCCTTGTATATTTTTTATTATATTCTTTCGTTTTTAGACAATATTTGTGAAGACGACTGTGAGGTTCGGAGGTGCTACCCCTGGCAAGTATTTCATGGGTCTGCGTGTGGTTACTTGTGATAGAGTGCAGAATATTGGTGGTAATAAAGTGATCATCCAACCTGCCGGCAATGTCAGCTTCACTCAGTGAGTTGCTCCTCGACCTCTATACAACTGATTGCTTTAGAAAATATACCTGTTATTCAGTAGATCTGTTTTAGGTCTGTAAAAGAGGTGCAATCTGGGTTGATAGGGAGGGGTGCATGTGGGTGGAGAGGTTTAAGTGGTGGTAAGGGGTGCATGTTGGTGGGAGGATGGGTATATGATGGTATAGAGATGTTTGTTTTTTGTAAATCACATAAAAATTTTGCACATACTTAACACAAATTTTGAACATAAAAATAAAAATGTATCTATGTGACCACCGTATTTTCATTGTGGTCCCAATAGAGTGGAGAAGGTGCATGAAAGAGAGTGTCATTGACTTTCTCAGTGAAATATATGGACAGGTTGCAGGAATGTCAAGCACAGTTATCATATAATCGCTTACTTTATCGGATGCTGTGAAGGTTGAACCTGGTTTAACTTTGCCGATTGCGTTGCAGACAAATCAGGTTGTATTGCTAGCTGCCCTGACACAATCGGAAAGGCACCCTGATTCGTCTGCAACACAATCGGCTAAGTTGAACCAGATTCAACTTTCCGGACAGCTGTCGGCAACTGTCGCCTATAGGGTGAGCAATCGATTCTATGGAAACCTAGCTTCACATTGTACAGCCAAATTAATAATGATATTTATTATTATCATATTTTTTGGTAGAGTCACATAATATTTTTTGGTAGAATCACACATCATCAATGACCTGACACATATAAAGTTGTTGATACCTTTTTTAAATTACCATTTCTAATACACAATAACAATATTAAAGTTCATCAATAAAAACAAGAATGCAATTTTTAACATAAATAATATAATTTCTGGTGTTTATTTTCAGGTCATTCCTTAGGGCTTTCATCAAGAATTTCTCAATGGCATTCTTCTTTCCCGTATGTATTACAGTGTTTTTTAACCCTAGTTTTCGAGCTGCTTATGATGTTATTTGTCGAACCATGGTAGTGTCTGATCCTAACTGGCCACAGAATCTTAGACAACATCGAAGAAGATAGTTTGTGATACTTAATCAATTTAGGTGCTAATTGCTTCCTAAATGTGTTTTGAAATATGTTTGTAAATATTTTAACAAGAATAGTCTGTATTTTATTTTACCATAATGTCAAAGTTTGTAGTGTTTATTAATGTACACACCAATAGCACACTTAGGACAGGTTACACAGATGTTGCTGCAGAGCACTATGGGATTGCTCAGGAGACCTAACAGCAAATGAAAACCTTTGAACTATGGTGTTCAACATTATGTTTTTGCAAGTACTGTAGAGTATCTACTAACATTTTGTTTCAAGTGTTATTATTAATTTGGTATGATTACAACAAGAAGCAATATTTTAAATATAATGCCACTAAAAGCAAAAATATTAGAAAAGAATGAAACCATTATTCCCCAAAACCATTTTTTCAAAACCGCTGTTACAAACAAGAATCATGTCAAGAGACACAGATATTGATTTGATTTGATTTATTTAATATCAACTTAATAACATCACAAAACTGGAAAAACAGAATACAAAGAAACAACATAGAGAAAACAGGTCATCAGTGTTGATATCTCTAAATCCCAATAAAAGATATATTTCCAGAGTGTTTTTTTTTTGTACAATATTGGTGTGGTGCTGAGAAAAGATCCCTGCAGTGACCTTAATTATTGTACTATTGAATATTTTTAAAATTATATAAAACTGTGTTGCATAATTTCAAATCTATACTCAAGGCTGTGACAACGTGAGGCACTATATAAATCCAAAATGATCTACAGTACTTGCATATGTCAGGACCACTGATCTGTACTATAATAGCAGGATTGCTCATGGGCTCGTTTTAGTGAGGCCATCAACGCCATGTTGGAGGGCCTAAATGACGTATCTGTTTAGACAAGTTTCTTTTGGTATTTGTTTGAATTATTTTTTTATTTTTTTATTTTTTTTTTATTCATTTCAAGACACAATGAACATTAACAGTTACAAAAACGAGAAAAAAAAATACATTATAACTGAAATTAATACAAGATGATTCGATTTGATATAAAAATAAGTATTTAAAAAATTAGAGAAACAAAACTAAAATAAATTAAACTAAACTAAACTAGAGAATGATTTGTTTGAATTATTGTTAAAAATAACGATTCTTGAAATATTTTTTTATAATAAAATTACATTTAACTTAATGATTATTTTTCAAATCATCTAACCACTTGACTTGACTGTTTAGGCAATTTTAAAAAGGGCAAGAAGTTATTTGTGTTGTTAGTGATCGACGTCACTGTAACAACGCGACTTCGCCTGCGCTTTTGTAAACTGCATACTGTAAACAATCGCGTCGAGCGGTTAGATGATGTGAAAAAAAATCTTGCGTTAAATTTAGATTTATTATTGAAAACTATTGCAAGAATCGTTATTTTTAACAATAATTTAAACAAATGCAAAAAGAAACTTATCACGTATACGCCCGCCAATGTGGCGTCAGTGGCTTTTTGTACAAGGATTCAATCCAGCTACTATAGTAGAGATCAGTGGTCAGGACACAAAGAAAAAGGAAACCATACTTTATTTTCACCCATGTCAATGGACCTTTCCCAAGTGTCAATCAAACTTAGCAATTGACCAATCAGAACAGGGCCAGGAATACTGGCGTTATAACAACCACACGTGTTTTCCCACAAAAACATGTGTTTGTGTATGTTGTAACACTGTCGTTTTGTGGGACTTCAGCAACAATATTCATTGGGCAGGGCTTAGTGGAAAGGTCCATTATACGTGCCTACAGCAAGGGATGTACAGTACTCTATATGTAAATGTAAGTCATGAGTAGCAAAATAAAATGTATTGTATGGAAATGCAAATTGTTTGTTTCTGTCTTCATATATTTATTGCAGTAATCATTTATAGCCGTGTATTTGTAAAAAACATTTTAAAAAATCCTCTGCTTTTTTTGACAATCGTAAGCCTACATTACATAATATAAAAACAAGCACAGGACAATAAAAAATCATCATTATGAGTTAAGTGGCAAAAGTGACACAACAAAATACTTCTACACACAACAGAAGCATAATTGATGAAGACGATGATGATGAAGTTACCAGTGGTGTGGCGATGGTTTGCGTAGAGGAAGGAACTATTTATTTTCCTCTTCTATAAGACAATAACAAATTCTTTTCGGATGATTACTTAACATATTATCAGATAACAAAATATGCTTATAATTATTTTCATCTCAACATATGGTACAACCAATTCAACAAAATGAAATTCGTTAACGAATAGATTAAATAGCTACCGCACCATAGATAGGCCTACCTTTAGATGATTTATTAATTTATTAAATGAATGCATAGTGTTTTTTTTTCCTCAGTGGAGAGAACTTATTGGAGAGACCTTCGATTCTGACCCAAAAAATGTTCCCCCTTAATCGGGATTTCTTCTAAGTAGGGATTGGGTGTAGTATTGAAAATAACTTTCCCTCGTTTCGTGCCAAAAATGTGTCTCCTTAATCGGGATTTCTTTTAAGTAGGGGTTGGCTGTAGTGTTAAAAAATATACACTTTCCCTGTTTCGTGGCCAAAAAAATGTGTCCCCTTAATAGGGATTTTCCAAAGGAGGGATTCTGCTGTGCTTTATTTATTGGCGGTAACTCTTTGATCTTCAACTCGAAACCTGTAGATGCCCGCTGGTATTCACATGATCTGTCGGCTCTGATTGAGGCCCTGAGTTTAATATGGACTACGTGGTTGGTGCTGGATTGAACCTGTCTCGGACACCGAGCTTAATGTGACTATTACTCATAGAAAGGCATGTAATATAGGTCTACAATACCTGACTCAGGAAGTACGAGAAGATATCTTTACACTTCATCAAAGCTGAGCTGGATTATAATTTCTTACATAATAACTGATTCATTATTTTTATTAGAAATTACCCCTGTATCCCTGGCAATGAGCAGTGGCGTGTATGAAATTTGAAGGGCGCGGTAGCTGGCAGTATAAGGTGATATGAAGTGATCTTACTTCAGCGTAATTGTTCTGCTTCCAAATTTCGAGTGACGAGGGGAGGAGGGCGTCTGGCCCAGAAGAACTTTTTTGAAGAAGCTAGCGTCCCCATCCCATTCCCCCTCGCGCACCTCGTATATACGCCACTGGCAATGAAGCGCTGGTGAACAAAACATGCGTCAAAACATCTGCAATTGTTATCAAATAATCTTCTTTCAATGATTCATTATTTGATTTAGATACTGGTTTATCTATAAAGCTAATGAAGTGGAATTCTTATATCACGAATCCTGTCGATAATGTTTTTAGTTATTACCTTAATCTAGTAAGAATAATTAATTAAATTGTGTATCCGTAGTGTGTGTGGGAAAACCCAAATCCAGTACAACTGTGGTTACAATAACGTCTTAGAGTGTGCTTGCTATCTCTGCAAATGACGTAAACTTTGTATATATAAAGCTTGTACTAAACCATCCCTGCAAACACAACCGACACCCTGATGATGATGCTTGCAAGACTCACCCTTCTTTGCTGCCTGGTCGCTGCTGCTTTTGCAGGTAGGAGAATGCGCGTTTTATTCTATTTTTTATTCCAATGTGGCTTATCTCATACCAATGGGCGGTATCTATTTAAACTCTTGTAAAATTACCACTTGGAAGATTACCCCTTTTATAAACAGTTTCATACCGCTCTTCTAAAGTGATTGATTAAAGTCCCACAATAGATAAATTTACCAATTTTGAATAGCCTCAATGATCTTTTTATACTAGATCCTAGGCAGCACTTTAACTACTAAAATATGTGTGATATATAATAATGCCTGTTGGTTGATACCGTAAAACCTCGAATTGTAAGCCCTGGGCTTTTTTTTTTATTTTATTTTTTTTTATTTTATTTTTGGATGGGCTTCTTTTCGAGATAGGCGTCTTTTTGAGATGGGCTTCTTTTTTAGGCTACTTTTGCAAACTAAAGAGGGGGCTTCTTTTCAAAATTAATGCTGTAAATTTTGTGAATTTGTA